CTTTATCTTTCTTTTTGGGCGGTTGTTCCTCTTCTCTTCTTCCTCTTGAACCTCGAACAAAAAAAAGATCCYGCCATCAGCTCGACTAAGAGTTCCGAATCAAAAAAGTCAACTGAACTTGACTTAAGACGAAGGAACCGAGTGCCGAAAAAACCGGTTTCGCTTCAAACTACTARTAATTAAGACTAAAAGTAAGGAAGTCCTTTTCTTGACTTGGCCTGCGTTCATTATAYCTACCCCCTTTTTAAAGAACTTGATTTCAATCTCAACAAAGAAATGAAAGCATAACTCTTTGCTTGTTGTCCTCTTACTTACTCAATTGTGGAGGTCTCTCGGGTGTCTGATCCGATCAGTCTCGTGATGAAGAGAATTCCGATCTTCCACTAAGAAAGGTCTCGTCACGACAACTCAATTTGTCCGGTAAACTACTAGGGGCTCCCCATGGTTTAGTAAAAGGGAGGGGAGATTTGCTCCTCATCCGGGGGTTMATTTCATTCATTATGAACTCAAAAGTGAAGGTCTTAAAAACTTCATAGAATTCATGATCGGCCATTCCATTTGTGCTTTCTTCTCCCCCTATAGTGATAGCAGTATTGGGGAATTCCTCTATCTTCTTTGAATGAGGAATAGTTAATTTGATACTAATATCGATATATTTTTGTCAAATTTTATGATATCTTCAAACTTATATTTTATTCAAAAATAAAAACATCATCGTTTTCTCAAAATCACATAAGACCATATTATAACATCGATTGATATAAAGAATAAAATAAAATATTACAATCAAGAAGTATCTCGCTGCATTACGCAAATATCATTCTAGTAATTATATATATTAATACAAGAAGGTTTAAAATGAAAAATAAGACAAGAAAAAAAAAGATATAAAATAAATTAAATAACTAATTATAAAAATGCAAAGTATAATTTAATAATAAAAATAATTTTATTTTAATTATGATGTTGAACGTAGTTGTAAAGGTCAGATCAAAATTGATAAAAGCAACCAAATGTTATCAAATATGTAAATTTTTGGATCTTCCRACTGGTGTAATGATGGTGTATCCCCGGATCCAAAACCCAGATAGCSATTGGGTCGGATTATACCATCATCCTTAATTTTGTATTTAAATATCTTTTGCAAAATAAAAAGGGGAAATGCAAGAAGAAGGGGAAATGGAAAAGCAGCAGCTTCTAGAAATGGGGTTCTCCGACGAGTTARCTTCTCAAGCTCTCTCCGCAACCGCCGGCAGTTCCATTTCCGGTGCCACTGAATGGATTCTCAGCCAAGAATCCATAAACGACAACAAAAATTCCCCAATCACCACTCAATCTTCTTGTCAGCCGAAAATCAATCACTTCTTTCGTTTTAACMCCTCAAAGAAACCATCACAGTCATCCGACAATCACCCAGAAGCAGCATCACCACCAGCAGAATCAGAACCATTACCACAAYCACTACTCAAAAAAAGGAAGCAGCCTCCGGTTCGRAATGAACAKCCGCTGGCTGAGCGAATGCGGCCTTACATCATCGGCCAAGTGGTAGGACAAGACCACCTCCTCGCCGGTAAATCCTCTCTTCTTCGGTCAGCCATTGACTGCGATCGCTTGCYGTCATTAATTCTATGGGGGCCGCCTGGTACCGGTAAGACCTCCATTGGTCGAGCCATTGTTAATTCCTGTTTATCATCTTCGTYTTATCGATTTGTTTCTTTGTCTRYTGTWACTGMTGGTGTTAAAGATGTTAGGGATGTCGTAGATGAAGCTAGAAAACGCAAAAAGAATAATATAAATGGTACGATTATGAGAACRGTGTTGTTCGTGGATGAGGTTCACAGGTTTAACAAGTCACAGTTGGATTCTTTCTTGCCTGTAATCGAGGACGGCAGTATTATCTTTATTGGTGCTACAACYGAAAATCCTTCCTTTCATCTGATAACGCCATTGCTGTCTCGTTGTAGAGTTGTCACCCTTAATCCACTTGAACCCCACCATGTTGCCACCATCCTTATGYGTGCTATTGATGATCCCAACAAKGGTTTGGCCYAGAGTGTAGGGAGAGCTATTGATGTGAGTGATCAAGTCATTGAATATTTATCACAGCATTGTGATGGAGATGCAAGGGTGGCATTRAATGCTCTTGAAATTTCAGCCATTGGTGCTGCTGCCCGCATAGGTATATCCRATCATTCTATAGTGGTCAATGTTATTTTGGATGATGCAAAAGAGGCGATGCAAAGCAAGTGATAACTCTCATTTTGTGAGAGTTATTTGTTGTTCAATACCCCTATTTTATTGTATCTTTGATACCCATTTTGCTCCTATCTTGTATTTTTGGTCCAAAATATGTTAAGAGGTGATGAAAGGTCAAGAATTTAATTATTTTCTAAAAAACCCATTACTATTGGTAAACTGCCCACTTTATGCTCTCATGCATCCTATGGCATATTTTCATCAAGTTGGATGTCAAGTATGGACTCTCTTGGATATTAATGAGATTTAATTCTAAGTTCAGATCAAAGCATTAAGTTACATGGAAGAATGGACCTGGTTGAAGCTATAAAAGACAAGGAAAGTACTCATACCTTTATTTTGATTGAAAAGCCTTCTTTTCATGATTTATTGGAGTACTTCTACCTTTTGCAACCTTTCAATGATGAAGTGACATGGCCAGAAATGAAGTAGACTTGTGGTGATGGGAGGTCCTTACCCTTTGGACAATGCAGATTTTTATCCATTGGACAAAGAGTTTAACCGGTCCTCACTTTTCCCTATATATTGAAGGCTTTCTCTCATTTGAAAAGCATCCATTCCACCAGCAAATTAGCTAAGCAACCTTGGAGCATCCTTTAAAGCTTTATAGCAGTAAAGCAAGTTTAATTTCGGTTTGTAATTTAAATTTCGTAAGTAGTCTTTTATTCTCGCCTCTGTGTATTGTGTGCCCTCTGTGGGCAACAGTTTAAGTATTATTTTCAGTTCAAGTATTTCTTAAGTATTTTTCTTCTTCTGTTTCCGTTATATTTTCTGATTTTATTATGAGCTAAGCACCCCTTTGGGTGTGGGTGTGAGTCAAGCTTAAGGATTTAAGGGCACACTTGGGTGTTGCCATTTTTATTGATTCTTAAGCTTGGTCATTTAAGTCGGGACTTAACCTCAACGCAGATAAGCCGATCATTTTGAAGTGTTAATATTAGATCCTTGATCCAGAGATGGGGGGATCTGAAATACGGTTTAGATGATGCACAAAGATTTGAGAGAGTCTTTGATAATCACGCAGAGATGCGAGTTTTGCATGTTTTTAGCTTTTGTTCAGATATTAGTCGAGTTTATGCTACAATACATTGTGAGTATAAATCTTCAGACTAGTGGAACCACATATCTTTTTATCTAGTAGCTAATTCGGCAAGTTTAAGATTGATAAAACTGGACGCTTTGTGGGCACTTTGTGGGCACAGTATATGAAAATTCACTTTCGAGAGATAGGAGTTCTTATAGAAGTCCCATGAGTTTCTGACCAAGTTGTTCCTGCTATATTCTTAAGTAAAGCTTACACTCATACCCATCTTTTAATATTAAAGGTTTATTTCGTATTTTCACGCTTTGCACCAATCAAAACTCAAATATTTTCTCAACTCGAAGCATTGTTCAAGAAGTTCATGAAAGTCTCTGATTCTCAGTAAGTCCGGTCCCTGTGGAAACGATCTTGGTACTATACCACTTTATTACTTGAAGCGATCATAGTGTCGGCGGGCACTTGCACCGCCACTTTAGGGACTTTGTGCCTACTGTGTGCACACTTACGATTTAGCACCATCAGCAAGCATCTTTCTTATGACAAAGCTGGGGAACAGCATTACAATCTAATCAGTGCACTCCACAAGTCAATGAGAGGAAGTGATGCAAATGCATCNAGCAAGCATCTTTCTTATGACAAAGCTGGGGAACAGCATTACAATCTAATCAGTGCACTCCACAAGTCAATGAGAGGAAGTGATGCAAATGCATCAATATATTGGCTGGCAAGGATGTTGGAAGGTGGGGAGGAGCCTCTCTACATTGCACGCCGCCTCATACAGTTTTCCAGTGAGGATGTTGGATTGGCAGACCCATCAGCYCTCACCCAAGCTGTGTCATGCTATCAGGCTTGTCATTTTCTTGGTATGCCGGAGTGTAGCATCAACCTAGCCCAGTGTGTTGCCTACCTSGCACATGCTCCTAAATCARTAGCYGTATACAGAGCACTAGAGGATGCCAGGAAGGCTGTGAGAGATTCAGTTGGGYAAAATGAGGGAGTGCCTTTGCATCTGAGGAATGCGCCTACCAAGTTGATGAAAGAAGTTGGATATGCAAAAGGTTATATCTATCCTCCTGATAATCCTTCTTCGTCACTGTCCTATCTACCAGTTCCCCTTCAAGGTTCTAAGTTTCTCAACTGGCCAGACAGTAGTTAAGAAGATGCATGTCATCAGAAAGCAGTTTATGATATACTTTTGTTGTGCATCATGTTTTGTTCCAAGCTGCAAATRACTAATATTATTTTTGAAACACAATGTTCTGATGTAGTAATCTTTTTATAATGTAAATGAAGTTGTAATTTAGTTGCAATTTGAAGATTATAATTATCTTGTAGACCGAAAATGATAAGCTACTTAAGAGGAGAGGTAAGATTATTGTTCYTGAATCCTGTTTCAATACATAGTAGCGTAGACCCATATTTACAGGCATTCCCCCTTTTTGGCCACACATGATGAGTGTGATGCCCTGATGACGAACTACTTATTTTTACATCATTATTTTTTACCTGAATAAAGTAATGAACTTTTACTTAAATTGTAGCCATTGTTGTCAAGAGGAGATTATTTATATGCTTTTCTTTGTTACTGCTTTGTTTTTTGAATTAATCGGGTGTTGCAGCAGTAGGCGTCCATTATTCAAAGATGATTTACTTGATACACTTACAATTTTCATTAAAAACACGCGTGAAGGCATGAGTTACTTAAACAGTTTCTAATTGATTGAGGTCAGGATTTTATATTCTGATTTTGTTTATACTTGTCATTCTTGCCTTGTGCACTTACAATACATTGTTTCTAATCTCAACACTGACTTACTACTGTGATACTATAGTAGAAAACAACCTAAAATGGTTGCGCAGATCTGTAGCAGAAAGCTTGTATTGAATTTAATAATAAATAAATAAATAAGAACGAGCAAATTGATTAACAACCCAAAAACTGAAAAAACCCATTTCAATGACTAAAAGTCTAAAATATTGGAAACCCCGTTTCAGTGACTAAGGTTGTGTTTAACAATCAAACATTTGCTTATATAGTGGCAAGATGGTAATTATGAGACTAATACTAGTATATGGTTACACGTATCCATGTTTCTTGTGGCAAGACATGGTTGATAAAAGGGTGTCATCGATGTCAAAGATCCAAGCATCCTTGCCGTTTTTGTTTAGATCACAGATAGTGTAGTCTACCTTGTGTGTGTTTTAGATATGGCGAGTCCTTCCCCATTTCCGGGGAAGCCCTTGATTCAAGTTTCTGCCTCCCTATAGGAAAAGCCAAGGTAATTAATGAATATCTTTTAAGGTAAAGTAGGATAGTATGAACCAAAAGTGCTAAAAATAGTATTTTATTTATTGATGACAGATTGAAAGAGAAGGAAAARATGTAACGATCACAGCTTTCTCCAAGATGGTGGGATATGCCCTTAAGGTATATTTTTTATTTTTGAGTGCTAGGTAATACTTGTTGAGTAGTTAATCTGATGATGTTGATTTTTCTTATAGGCTATTGAAATACTTGAAAAGGAAGAAGGGATAAATGCAGAGGTGAGTTGATATTGATTGTGTTATGGGTTGAAGGAGCATATTTGTAATATGTGAG